TATATATATATATGTATATATACATATATATATATAATGTGTATTTCCATTTTAGGTTTGGTCTTAAATTTCATAAAAGGTGGTTTTAAAAAGGTCTTTAAAAGTTAGATCTGTAGACACCCTGACATGTCAGGCAGGAAACGGGCCCTTGTGAGTAATTTAGATGTCACCTTAAAAATATTCCTCCAGTCAAAAGAAAAATGTGCTTTACACACCCTTGAAAAGGCAAATCTGTCTCCATCATGGTTTACTTTTTCTTTGTAAAACAGCCAGTAGTAATCTGTAACAAAATATGTTATAAAATATAAAACATCAAATATATGCTCAATCTTCATAAACTATAAATATAGTATAAAAACTATTCAATTAAATGAATAATTCCTAATTTTCTTTGGTAGTTTGGTCTTGCACATACATGTGATGATGATTTCTGTGTGATATGTATGTTGGTGTTATCCAGTGTCAAGTCTCTATTTCATCATGTGACGGTAAGATTATACGTTAGCTAGTTTAGGCGCATGATTAGTAAGTGGTGTGCGTTAGGGTCCGTCATAATAACGTCCACTGGGGCCTGTTGTAACTACTTTACACCACTGATTAACACCACACTGTGAAAATACTCCTCTACAAGTAAAAGTCCTGCATTCAAGTATTATCAGCAGAATGTGTTGTTAGTACTTGAAGTAAAAGTCTGTGTGTTGCAGTAAAATGTTCCATGCTGTCTGTTTTTTACTCAGTCTGATGTATTTGGATTTATTTGTGTCATTTTACAGCTTTACATGTTTAAGATTATACAGCAGCACATCATATTTGGTGTGTGGAGAGTGTTTTGCAGTGATGGGACGTGTTCTTAGATACTTTATGTAAATGCAGCAAAACACACTATAAAAAGTTCTGCATTAGCGAGTACAAGTACAAAAAGTTTGAGTGCACAAGTTAAATGTTATTAAAATATTTCTTTCAAGGTATCATGAAAGTTTTGTTGGAGGACAAATTATAACTTGAACCTCTTAACTGAGGAGCAGCAGAACTTCAGACGACTTCAGCTGGAGCCGATCTCTTCAGCCACATGACTGAAACACCTGTAAGCGTTTAATGATAATAATCAGTTTAATAACATGTTTGTGTGTAAACATCAAAGTAATAAATGTGGCTGAAAACAGAAAAACACAAGTGCCTCAAAATTTAAGTCTCTTTCACAAAAGATATTGTCTTAATGAGACTTCCTGAATAAATAAAGCTTATTTACGAAAATTTATTTATGTTTTTATGTTATTTATGTTTATTTATTTTTTTTAGATACAGTTAATATGAAATGTGAGACATGATACAGGAAAATGTGCCAGTGCTTATTGTTTTAATTCAGTTTTATCGGTTTGTGTTCTTGTTTAGTTTTAAAGCAAGTTGCACTGTTTAGAAAAGCGATATGTTTAAATTGTTTATTATTATATCAATATTAATTTATCTGTTATTAATCTAGAACTTCCTGTGCCATTCAGGCAGCAGCCACGTGCAGTCGTCTAGTTTTGTTTTTTTAAATCGTAATTTTAGTTTTAAGTTAGTACCTTTATTTTTTAATTATGTCAATCAAGAAAAAACAGAGAAATTAAGAAAGAAAAATTCACGAAAGAAAGAAATCAAGAAAAAGAGACAAATCAAAGAATCGAGGTAGAAATCACAGAATCAAGAAATAAAGAAATCAAAAGAAAAGGAAATCAAGAAGGAACGAAAGAAATCAAAGAAATCAAGACAGAAAGAAATGTAGAATTTAAGAAATAAAGAAAAAAGGAAATAAAGAAATAAAAAAGGGCAGATATATAGAAAGAAAAGGGAAATCAAGTAAGAAAGAAATCAAGAAAAAAATAAAGAAATTATGAAATCAAGAAATGGAGAAAGAAATCAAAAGCAAAGAAAACCAAGAAGGAAATAAAAAATCACCAGTGTGTTAAGTTTCTGTGATTGAAAACACATAAAACACGAGTTAATAGTGACGATATTAAACACAGGTACAAACTCAGCTCTGTTATAACCTGCAGAGTTCAGCGTTAGCTGATGAATATTTTTAACTACAACTTACTAACATTATCAGCCAATGATATTTTACTCAACATAAATTAGCCTAGCAGCTAACGGAGCTTTCCTCTATATGACGCCAGGAAAAACAGTAACATCTAGCAGAGAAAGTGTTATACATTTCGGCTCCATTTAAATTGACAAGGTTCACCGATAAAACATTTGTCTTGTACTTGACAAGTTTTCCTCACATATTAACGTAACATTAACGTACAAGACTGGTTTGTACGATATCCTTTGAAAAATGCATCTACAACAGTCCATATGATATCTTATGAATCTGCGCCCAGAGAGTGACTTTACGTCCTTAACGTACAGTTACATAATTAACATAAATTTAGGGAGGTTAGGTTCAGGAAAAGACACATGGTGAGGACGTACCTTGAAATGACTTAAAGTTCAAACAGTTCCGAACACATGACTCCAGGGGAAAGTCCGTTTTTTGTGACACATTTGTCATGTGACCGAACCCTTACAAAATACGTGGGATGTGAATCAATTTGGGTGCATTGTGCACATACTAACAATTTGTGAGAACAGCCTGCACGTATACAACATGCTAACGATATTAACAGAACCCTATCACATTGCATAAACTAGCCTGGCAGCTAGCAGACTTTTCCTCTACTCGCTGTTTTTTGGAAGTTTCTGTTTCATATCTGTGAAATGAAAATAAATGGTTTTCAGTTTACAAAAATCACTGCAAGGTGGAATTACTTTTCTAGGGAGGTGCATGCCAGGCCACAGCGTAGAGTACGGTGTGGAGTCGACATAGGTTACGGTGTGAGGTTCACGTCTATGCAGGTCGATTTGTTGCAGAAGTATAAACCCCGCTTAGAGCTCACTTATTAACCCACTTTATTTATCGCTACATCCCCTCTATACACACACTGAGCTCTGGTTAATGATTGGCATATAAGAGAGATATGAAGATGGTTATCACACACACACACACACACACACACACACACACGGTACTAAAGCTATGATGCAATGACTGTATGAAGCAATCTGTCTACAACTGAGAGA